CGAGACTGCGCGGTGGTCGCCCGGGGGCTTCGCGGCCGGGAGACGGCCTAGGTGTAGGGGACTTGGCTTAAGAAGAGCAGCGGTGCTGTGCTGCGGGTGCCAGCGGGCAGCCCTCCCGCTGCCCGGTGAGCTGGGGGACTCGCTGTGGGGACTGCTCCGTAGGACCGGGGAAGTTACCCAGGGCTGTCGAGCAGTGCAGTTGTGTAGGCTCAGTCAGACGTCCTGAGGCCTTATGGAGTCTCTACGTAGACTTGACTTGGGATGCTGAGCGGGTTATGTTCTTGTAGACTCACAGAATGTTCAGGGTTGGAAGGGACCTCTAGAGATCATCTAGTCCAGCCCCCTGCCAGAGCAGGATCACCTACAGTAGGTCACACAGGAAAGCGTCCAGGCAGGTTTTGAAAGTCTCCAGCGAAGGAGACTCCACAACCTCTCTGGGCAGCCTGTGCCAGTGCTCTGTCATCCTCACAGTAAAGAAATTCAGGACAAACTCCCCTAAAGACAGTTTTGCTGTTGAGTTAAATGCATGTGTGATGACTTAGGAAATCTTCAGAGAGAGATTAGATTTATTACTGTAACACGGTGTAAGGATTTGCTTCTGATTGCTACTGCTTGTGTTTTTCAGATGTCGGTGGTGCAGCAGATAAGATTAATTTAATTCCTCAAGACTTTTTTGCAGAACTGGTAAGTAGGGCAATAAACAGGACATGGAAGGGCTTCTGACACTTTGATTCAAGGAAGCCTTTTTGTTTAAGCTCATCTGGCCTTTGTCTTTTGCAAAGGGAAATGCTGTGTATGTGGTAGCGTAGATTTATGCGACTCATGGACCAGTCTTATGAATTGTAATGGGATTGTTTTAAATTTATGTTTTTATCGCAGGAGGTTTCTTAAAAATGTATTCTTGCCTTTATTCTAAATGAGCTATCCAGCTAGCTTGTCTAGGAAACATTCACCTTTAGTGTGTGCTTGACCAGGATGACAGACAGTATGAAAATGATGTGTTTAGTGTGAATAGCTAGTGAGGTCGTAACTAAAATTCTTAACTGATTTTATTTGCTTTTCTTGAATTTAATGGGGTTTTTTGTTTGGGGTTTTTTTTGCAGTGTGAACAAATAATTCAACATCTGAACCATAAGATCCCAGGTGTAAATACAGCTGAACTGTGTCAGGTAAGTTTAGACACTAAGATTTATAAGCAAGTATATTAGCTGCGTATGCTGTAAAGGATGAGTTCTCCATGTCAGTGTTTGAGGTTCGGTTATTTTGTTGTTGTGGGGGGTTTTGTATATATATATGCAAAGAGGCTTTTGTTAATGCATAATTTATTATTACTTGTAATTGTCTGAACATTCTGTTTCTAGAGAATACAAACATCTGGGATTGACATTAATATTGGTGACCTGGCAAAAATAGCTAACATTGTTTCCTTTCTCTTTAGGTAAGCACAAGATAATTTACTTTATCTCATGATTTGTTTGTTTTTTTTTCTTCTCCTCCAACTTAACAGTTGTATTAAAAAGTGATATAAAATGTGGATTATAAAATCAGCTGATTTGGGAAGAGGGTAAAAGTTTGTAACTCCCATTACACAAAAAGGAACTTTTTGGTGTAGTCTATGTTCTTAAAAAAAATGTGTAGTTACTTAATGTATAGTCTCACTTCTTTTGTGATTAAAAAAGGAGGAAATTGTTCCAAGATCCTGTCTGCAAGTTTTAGAACTACTAGCAGAATAAAAGAGGAAGTTAAGCTAAGTTTTAAAGCTAAATCAGCAAGGCCTCTGCCTGGAAGAAACGTGTTCTAAAAACTTTTTGTTTCTTAGAGTTTAGAAATCAACTTTTGTGCCTTTCTGAGGGGCACACAGTTTTATAATGTTGATCTCTGTTGTGATAAGGTAGAGTTTTTAGGAGTATTTTCAGCTCTTGGTTTGCTCTAAGGTGTGAGGCTTTTTATTTTAGGAAAGATACATTTTCAAGATATTTCTTGTTCTTTTAATGTCTAGTGTCAAAATATTTTATGTAACATTAATATGACTGAAGAAAATATACCGGCAGAATTTTAAGATACTACTTTTTCCTCTATAAAATATAAAGCCTTAAATTATATTAGATCATGCTAATTTGAGTACCAACTCTTTTTCTCTTCTGTTAGTATCACTTTAAGAGGAGATGGTCTGCATGAACAAGCCTAGGCTGGGAATTGGGTTTTTTTTAACCTGTTTCTGTAGAGGAAGTTGGTAATTTTCCTCTGGACTTTCTGCCTTTTCAGTTGAGCGTTTATTACATTGTCTGACTCCTGTTAGTACCAATTATAACATTACCTAGATATCCTTACTTGCCTTTTGGTGATACTTAACTCTCTTACATGTTTAATTAAACTGCCTTGTTTCTAAAGTAATAATATTGTTTAAATGCTCTGTGCACACAACTTTCACTGAATTATGCCTTTTTTCAATTGCAACAGCAGTTAGAGGCTGTGGTTATTTTTGGTTTAATGTTGTGTATTTTGCAGTTGTTGATCTCTGCCTACTAAGACACATTAAAAGTCAAGTCACATTGTTTTTTGTGTGTGGCTACAAAAGAGTAGTAAAATATTGTGGCAGAAAAACAAATCACAGACTGCCTGATTATTGTAAAGTACATAGGCGCATAAAGCAGAAATTAAAAAAATGCCTATTTGGGATGAAGTGAGAAATATGAAATTTACGGAGAATGAAATTGATGCCGTGTTCTCTGGATATGCCTATAGCACAGCAGCCAGAAACAATCTCTCTACGGAAGAACTCGTCACCGCCTTGGGCAGTGCAGTAAATACGCTGCCAAAACACGCAGTTCAAGTCATTCGTCATGTCTGGAATGAGCAGGGCAAATCCATTAGTGCGTCAGAAGATGCAAGAAATATGGCCACAGTGGGGCAGGTACGTAAATGACAAAGCGCAGTTGAGCTGTTGACTGACGAAAGCTCTCATGTATATCTGTATATACATATATCTGTTCCCACTCGTCTACGCAGGTAGAGAAGCATATGCAATAACGGATGTCTAAATGCTGATTAGTTTTTTATTGTTGGGGTGATAAAGTCACATTTCATATGTTTTTTTAAAATTAGTGCTTTATATACTGTTAAGGAAGGTGAGTGGCAGACACTGGCAGACGATTGCATTAGCTGTTTATGTAAATCTGTTTTATACGTAATTTGTTCTTTAGAGTTGATAATACCAGTGCCTGATTGTTTTATTCTTTGTCTCCCTTCGGTTTAAACTTTTTCTTTTTTAAAGATACTTTGTCAATTTCTAGCATTCCTTTTTTCCTCTTTTTAAAAAAATAAAACACAGTGGTTTTGCATTTTAAGATTTTTTTTTTTTGAACAACAATTTTAAAGATTATGGAGTTAGGAAAAAAAGTCTTTGTCTGAGGCTTAATAGTAAGGCTCCTCTCTATTCAGCAGTTCTGCCTGTCATAAAAAGCTAAAAATGATAACTTACATGTCTAAAATGTATTTATTATGTACTTTGATTTATCTAAAATGCAGTTACGAAATGCCTTAATTATTTTTCCCATTATAGCTATTTTACAAATGTGCGCTGTCTGAGGCTTTTCTCATGTTTCCACTTGGTTTAGAGACTTATAAAAACAACATGACAAAAACATGAATGATAAAAAAGCCAGGGAAATTCTGGCCAAGCTCTTACTAGAAATTTAAATAGACTGTACTTGACTATTGATGTATTTGTATACGGAAAAGAGATCAAGTAGCTTATTAAATTTCTCATCCTTTTACTATTAAAAGGAAGAACAGATGGTTTTGCATTCACGATAATATCTGAATGTGTATGTTTGTTTCCCGCTTGGCCTGTGTGACCTACTGTAGGTGATCCTGCCCTGGCAGGGGGGCTGGACTAGATCATCTCTAGAGGTCCTTTCCTTTCCAACCTCTGACATTCTGTGATTGGGTCTGAGATCTCGGTGTCCTATATTGTCTGTAAAACATCCATCCAACAGCATAGCAGTGGTAGGCTTGGACTTTTTCTTTAACACTGATTTTCTTCTTTATAGTTTGTAGATATGAAGTGGAAACTGGGAGTTGCGATGAGCTCTGACACCTGTAGGTCCCTGAAGTATCCCTACGTTACAGTGACGCTAACAGTGGCAGACCCTTCAGGACAAATAACAGATAAATCTTTTGAAATGACAATCCCACAGTTCAAGGTTTGTAATCACCGTTACTTGATTCAGTCTCTTCACAAACATGTCGCTGCTGTCTTTTTAAGGAGCAACTGTTTGTCGTGCTGCATGCGCCTGTGTTGCTTGTTTACCAATGCAGTCGTTCAACGATGAAGAGTTAAATAATTATTTAAAACACTGAAGCTAAATACTGATTTCATGGCATTTAGTTCTACATCACTTATCTGAAAATGTTAATTTAGCAGTAATTAATCTTACAAATAAGCTAACAACTCAAGACTTAAGACTTTTGGATCTTTCTTGTCAGCTGTCACTCTTATTGAAAATGAATGAAAATTCTCAATCTATGGAACTGTTCCTCAGCCTCAAAATCTCAAATTTCAGTTAAGCCTAACATTTGCTAATGATTAGGAATGGAGGTCAGTCTGCTTTGTCACTGCTGGCTCTTAATTGCTCTGCCTTCATCTCTGAACTTAGGTAACTTCAGTCAATTCTGCATAAATGTGGCACTTCAGTTGTCATTCTTGTTTAAAGGGTGAATACATCACTTAGAATATTGTACAGGCTTACAGATGAGTCCTTGGAGTTGGACTCGCAAGAATTTGAGAAAGATATTCTGCACCCTTGGGTGTTGTGAAATGTATTCATTCTGGTTGCAACATATTTAATAACTTGCTGTTCAAGTACAGTAAGAAATGGATGCTATACTTGAGAAGCCTGCATTATTTCAGCTGGGAATAGAAACATTTGCATGCGAAGGTTTTCTGGTGGGTTTTGTTTGCTTTTTGTTTGTGTTTTTTTTGTGGTGAGAGACACTTTTCTTTTTTTTTTTTTTTTTTTTATAGCATCTTCTCCTATTAATAGGCAAACCCATGCAAACAGGGCATCATTCACGTAGATGTAATAGTGAATGTGCACAAATGCAAACCAGCCCACAAAAAGAAAGCAGAAACTTTCAGTGTAACTGGAGAAAAGAGGGAATGTGAGAAACATGGATTGTGATGTGTCCAACATGCTAGTTTGAATTACAGTCTGAGCCTTTCTTCAAGCAACTGAAATTTATCCTAACTCTTGCTTTTTAGAACTTCTTCCGACAGTTCAAGGAAATGGCAGCTGTTCTTGAAACAGTTTGAAGAGAACTCATTTATTTACACTGAAATTTTGGACAGGTTCAGACCAAGTAAACTTTCTGTTCTGCACGGGGAATAAAGTGCCATTGTTCAGCAAGGTATGTATCCTTGTTTTTTTGACAGGTATTTGTCAGCATCACCTTTACATTGCTGTGAAGATTTCTTCGTTTTGAATACTTGAAACCAACTCTGCAGTGTTTCTGAAAACGTGCTCAGCTTTGTTCATCCTGGTAGACAAAAAATCAGGCTGTGTAAGGACAAACAGCGCTGCAGACTTCCTGATATCCAAGAGTAAGAAACTACATGTAAGAAGCTACACGTTTAACTCTGGAGTGTGGAAGGACACCTGAAAATGTTGACTGGGACGATACCGAGAGATGCATAAATCCCCTGCAAAGGGATTATAAGGATTATGCGAAGTTATGCATAACAAGCATACAGTTATTCTTGAAAGAATAGCAATGTCAAGTAGTTAGTTGCAAGTATTGCAGGCCTGGCTTCCAGTCTTCTTTTAATAACTGGAGAATGTACTTGTCCTAACAGCTTGTTTATTTTAAATACCTATTTCCCACCACTTAGGCTTATAAAAACTTATAAAAGCTCTACTGGAGAACCCACATTTATCCTTTGAAAAGAAGCCCAGAGGCTAATTTTAAATAAAGGTAGAAAGGTGAATTTAATTCAGAAGCATTTTAATATATGTTTGCCTTTTGCATTTAATCCAGCTCTGATCTGTGGCACTCTGCTTCATGTTTTGATCAGCAGCCTGCTTTCTAATTAAGTTAGAATACTGATGTAGTTGCCTGACTTCAAACTCTAAACTAGAAAAATCAAGAATAAAGGTGAAAATTCAGGCTGGAGGGTTAGCAAAGCGCATCAGAAGAAGGACCACACTAAAAAAATTCTTTGCTTGTTAACACTGTATGGCAGAAGTCCACTGGACTGTGTGCTATGTGCTTATTCTCAGAGAAAGTCCTACCAACAACTTTTGACTGACTCTGAAGAATGAGGGCATTTGCAGAGGAGTGATACAACCTGTGTTGATTATGTCCTCTTTTGTTGTTGTTGTTTTATTTCTTCTTGAGTTTTCTGTAAGCAAAACACAAACTGCAAATATAGTGGGATGTAATAAGAACAATGTTACTGCATTTCAAGATGTGCTGGTGGCATAGTAGAACATATAAATGTAAAAAGACAAGTCATACCAATAAGTAGATCGACTTTTATGCTGCAAATTCAGAATAGTAGAGAGCTAGAACCAGTTTTGCTGGGACAGATCCTCAAGTAATTTCAGGCCTACTTAAGTGAGAACATCTGCCTTGCTACTCCACATACCCATTTTGGGGTTTTTTTTTCTAATTAACTTTTTAGAAGCTGGCTGAAAGTGATTGACACAGGTTAAGCCTGCCTTTTTGTGTAACAAAGATAAACAGCAGCACGTCGTGCATGCTGTGCTGCATACTGCAACCCTTCCAATAAACACTCCCCCTATTTGGGCATTATGCGTGGTGCATAAAGCCAGTACATGATGTTGCCCAGAAGCTCAATTAAGTGAAACAGTGTTGGCTTTAACAAAAGAGAGTAAAAATTCTGCACCCTGGCCGTTGTTCTGAATGATACTTTCTTTGTGATGCTGAAGTCTGAGGTGTTTGCTTTGTGGCCAGGGAGAGCAGACTCCTGCTGTCTGGGACCACCTCAGTGCAGTGTCACGGAATGGTCTCAGGAATAGGCTTCTCATTTTCCCTTGTCTGTCTGCAAGGGCTCGGGGCTGAATGGAACGCAAAAAATACTCTGTGTGTAGAAAAGTGATGTGAGCAGCTGATTTCTATTTTTTTATTTTTTTTTTAATTTGCAGAAGTTGGAGTGTAAGGCTGCTCTAAGTGGAAAACATTGTCATGCTTTGGCTTAGTGAATTAATTGTTTTACATCAATGCATGAGTTCCAGAAAAAGAATACTTTTATTTTTTAAGTAAAGCTGGAGCCTTACAAATTCTTCTCATTTGTTCTAATGCAGTTAAGTTTTTCATACAGCTGGAAATACTTGTGCCTTCATTGGAACTGGATGGAAAAGAAGATTTAGTTACTTGTGTCTTAACTTCTAGAAACAACAGTTTAGTAGATACTGGAAGGTAATGGGGAAACTTTCAGTTACCATTTTTGCTTGGTCCATCACCAAGAGGAGAAAGTTGGCGGTGCTTGAAAAGTCTAACTTACATGTTGTCAAGTCAAATATTCTAGAAAATATAATCACTATTTTTGAAATGTCCCTGCACTCCAGCATGTTGTAACTGTGTCTGGGAGATGCCTGGACACGTGTGCTATACCAGTTTACAGTCCGAGAATTTTCAGAGGTGTTTATGGACATCTAGGAGATGTGGTTAAAAGTTGGCTATGTTCTCAAACTTCTGAGATTTGTCCTGATTTCTATCAGTAGGAATACCTATACTGAGTAATGGAAGAATTAAATACTTTATAAAAAAGACTTAACACCTTTCAGGGTAGCAATATTAACATGTTCAAACAAGCTATTGAGTTGTTTGTGTATATGTGCAGAAACCACCTTTTCAAAGAGAATCAGCAGTATTTACGTGTTCCTAATTCTACTTGTTGATTGATATAAAATTGTATAACATGAATATTTTTGTAAGTCCACGAATAGTCATTAAACATACAGGTAACAAAGATAAAGATTGTCTGTATTTTGTTGTAAGCCTATTTCATTAAAATCTGTCTTGAGTACTGTAATGGGTGAAGTTCAGGGTAAGACTAGGGCTAAACTTCTTAGTAAATTAGGATGAAGTTCAGACATAGGCAGTGTTTCTCTGTGATGGGGTGCTGAAAAGCTGAGGGATAACTGCAGGCTGCAAGGAATATTTATATCAATTACAGCTAGACAAAATGTTGTACTGAACCAGGGAAAGACAGAGGATATATGAGATTAATGAAATTTGGCAGGAAATTGCATTCAAGTGGTTTTCTTTCCTTAACTGTATTTAGGAGACAAGTAAACGATTTTTTCCTTTCAACATTCGCGTGGAACAGAACAAAAGGAAGGAAGAGAGGAGAAAGACTCTTACATAGGAAACAAATGTAAGGGAAGGAATAATGGAGGAATCTTCTAGTAACAATCGTCTGTCATCATTACATTACTTTTTTTTAATTACTACTTTCAAACACACCAGCCCACCTGCAGAAAGCTATTTTGTAGAGAAGAAATGGAGAAAGGCCACAGAAAGAGTGCACAAAAGGCTATAGTCTTGTCTCTGCCCTAGTGTTTTATATATTTAGTTTCTGCACACTTTGGCCGAGTCGTTGCCAAATTAAGCGCATGTCTCTGGTCCTGCTTCCCCAAAATTTTACTGCCTTTTCTTTAACCACACTTTTAAAGGTTATGTAACCTTGTTCACTCTGAGCCCATCCCCCTTTATTTTTTTAACTTCCTATTTTCAAGCCTTTACCCTCTGCTTGAACACCTGAAGATGCATAAGCTTGAACCAACTGAAAACAAAGGTAGAGATAAATTGGGGGAGAGGAAGAATGTTGTTTCTTCTTGCTTGCCCTATCCCCTGTTCTATTTGAATGTTTTATTACCCACTTAACAGTGGGTATGATGAGAGGATAATTTCCACTCCTCTGCAGAGGCATGCAGGGTTCTTCTGTTTAGCTCTTGTGGGTACTACAATAACACACAAAAGTGCCTGAGTCATTTAATCTAACTGTAATCTCTCTGCAGTGAAAAAAAAGTTCCATCTCTGAAGAACCTTTGCGACAAGGGGAGGGAATTAAAATTCAGCAGCCTCTGAATAGAGTAGAGTATCCTACTCTGAATAGAGTATCCTACTCTGAATAGAGTATCCTACTCTGAATAGAGTATCCTACTCTGAATAGTGTATCCTACTGGATAGGATACACTAAGGCTGATCATAGTAGTGCTCATTTCCAAAACAGACTTTTTTAGTAAAATGTTTTATGACTTTTGGTTGGGCTGCTAGCTTACTGGGCATTCCCTCCACTAGGAAGTTGAATCTGTGCAGGTCAGTACATGACATAATGAATGCGTTGACCTGGGTTGAGCTTGCATGGTATGCTGCTATAGTCCTCCCTTCCAGAGGCTCAGTCGCCCCTTAAACAACTGGATTTTCTTGTCACTATGCAATTTTGGCCAAATGTTTGCTTTACTTTTGCTTCTGCCATACAGCACCGTCCATACGTCCTCATCCAGTTTCACTCTGGGTGCTTGAGTTGCTTGAGGAAGCATTTGTGTTAAAGGGACAATGCTCAACTCTCCTGATACCCAATCCTGGATGCTTTGAAAGACTTTCTTGCTCGTTTTCGAGGCTGTTGTGAGGGAAGATAGAGAAATGACCTGCCATTTGAACTGACTTACTGGGATATGTCTGTTACTTATTTTTATCTTTATGTCACTGAGAAAGTAAGGAAGCAGAGATTGCTGATCTTCCCTGTAAAGGCTAATTTTAGTGTTTCTGGGTTTCGTCTTCCCTGCACTGCATTTTCCTCCTATGGCTAATTACAGTCTAGCTGCCTGAACTTGAGAACCATTTCTCTTCAACATGTGTAGATGCCATAGTTTCCAAATATTCTGTTAGTGTCTACATTACTGTCCTGGTTTGAGCTAAAAACCCCAGTTCTGTTCAGTGATTTTTACTTTCTAGTTTAGTCTCTTCTAAAAGGCTGCACTTTCTGAAGTCAGCAGCATGTTTTTGCAGACAGTGTGTGCTACTGGCAGTGATAACACCTGATGTTTACAGTTACTGCCTGGGACTGGGATGCAGAAAGGCTCTTGCTTACACTTATTCCTATAGTGACCAAGGCCCCTGCTGGATCTGCGTGCCACACTAGCGGGGGCAGAAAGTAAAAAGGGTCATAAAGAAGTAAAAGTTTTCACCTCTGGGGAGTAACAGACAGGACAGGTGACCAACAAGAGTATTCCATCCCATATACATCATATTCAGAAAAACAAATGAAGGATCACGAGGGTTTAG